TATCTGCCGCACCGTAGGTTGACTTGTCCATCTTCGTGATCTTGAGATCTATTTCAAAGAAAGCGTTATACCAGTCGGGGACAGATTCAGAGGCTGAAGAGGTGTCTACAGTCCACTTATAACCGCTCTTGACTTGCGTCGCATTATTGGCAGGTGCCGCTTGCAACGGTGTGTCGAGATCGTATGAGTAATACTCATACGCCTTGGCGTATTTTGAGGTTCTCATCTGAGACATGTTACTGTTGTTTTGTTGTTGTTTGATCTTGTTGAGGGTCAAGACTTTTTTATTACAAAAAAAGTTCATCAAAGTCGCTAAACACCCCTGTGAGTTCTTTTTTACGCTTAGTACCTTTGGTACTAGAATCTGACGCTTGGGTTCTCCACGATTTATCTTGTTGGAGCAGCTTTACAAGCTTATCTCCTTCGTTTTTCTTTGCCGCATCCGCTTCGTGGTGTGTGACTTGTGGAAGGTGACTAGCGTCACCTTGCGGTCGTTTTGAGAATTTATCATAGATCGTTTCACCAACTAATTGCCCCATCTTGTCACCGACTTGCTCAGCACCCTTCTCAATCCCCTTCGTCACCGCTTTAGTTGCAAGCTCTTTTGCAGCTTTACCTGTAAGCTTTGAAAATGCTTTTGTAGCCCCACTCTTGAGAACGTCAAAAATTCCTTCACCTTCTTGAGGAATTGAAAATTCCTCATCAACATTTTGTAATATGAGTTTGCCATCGGCACCTTGTCTCATATGTTTTCGAACCATGATTTGCTTTATTTATATCAGTGTATGATATAAATAACTATTTTTTTTATGCTTGAAAACGCTTACTTTAGCAAAAGTGTTAGCGATACGGCCGTGCCGTTAAGATCGAGCGCTCTCCCAAGGGAGTCGGTTATGTAGATTCGCAAATCTCTGATAGCACCCGTGTTTATTTTGCTATATTTCTTTTGCCTCGGCTCGAGATGAAAGGGGTATGAGAGGGGTAGATTATCTACTGAAAATCGATAGAGAACATCCGATTGTTTTCCACCGACAACGCTCTCTGATAATATATTTGTGCGGATATAAATATCATCCACCGAGCGAGTGATATCCGGTAGCTTGTCACCGTAACTAGTGGCTGTAACAATCTTCTTTGTGAAACCGATAAGATCTCCAAAGTCACCAGTCTGTAGGTCAACTTGATAACCGTCTTCGAGGCCGATTAGGCATTTGAAGAGGGCTGGCACGAATTTCAGCTCGATACCGGTCTTGCTATGCTTCGAAGATTCGAGTTCTCGCTGGATATAAGCGTTTAATTGTGAATACGAGAAATTCCCATTAGGGAATTGAATGTCATGCCACGTATTGCCGGAATCGTGACTATATTTCAGTTTGTTGTTATTGTAGGTGTTGCTGATATTGTTCCACGAATAACTCATAGCTACCTCGTCAAGAGCAACATAGTATGTAGTGTTTGGGTCTAACTTCATCACAGGGTTGAAGGTAGTAGTAAAATCGTGGCTCACACCACTCGAAGCACTCAGAGAGCTGAGATTAATAGGAGTCGGTGGTTTATGATATGACACAAGAAGCGACGACAATCCCAACAATTCCTTGTTTAGTGCGATTAATTCTGTAAGCTCACCCATTACGTTCAGCTTAGATATCTTTGATAGTATGCATTATATTGTTTTTTCGAAATTTGGTTTTTCTTCAAGATGTAGTCGAGAATCTCGATTATGTCGTTACGAATTTGAATAGACTCATTACCCGCTTCTCTAGCGGCTGTCAACATCTTTAATTTGTCTTTCAGTTCTTTGAAATCAGTAAATATAAGCCCTCCAGTCATTTTCGCCTTTCCAGACGATTTGTGCAACGGGAGGCCGGCGAGTTTGGTGACTGATTTGAATATTTCCTTCGATTTATTCGAATAATTTGCTTTGGGATTATTTCTCTTTCTAAGGAGATCTACGATGCCTTTGTCACCTTGTCTCTCAAACACAACAGAGCCAGTTGAAGGGTCAGCCGCTTCAACAAACATTTCGTTTATTAAGCGTGGGATGTTTAACCGAAGACGACCGTAATACCCGTTGCTATCAACTTTGTAGGCATTTCGTTTTTTCTGTGTATATTTACGCTTGCGACCCTTGAGACCTTGACCTTGCGTGACAAGTATTTTGTCACCACCCGCGAGTAAATTTATTCGGTCTGCATATTTTTTCAGCGTGTTGACTTGTCGCACAATATCTTCGATTTGGTCTCTGTTTTTCTCTTTATTCTTCGAGAGACCGGCCTTTGTGTGGTTTGCTCGGCTGATTTTATCAAGCACATCTAACAGGAGTCCTTCGTGATCAAATTCCTCCTCAAGTATTTGTTTGAATGCAACTTTAGGTGTCGGATAGCCGATTTTTTTAATATATTCAAGCTCGCCTTGGCTGAAATCTTTATCGGGATCGGGAACTTTTGTTTTCGGTTTAGGTGGCGGTTCAAGAGCTGACGGAGAATCTGGTGGGCTTTCGAATGTGTCTAGCTCTTTGAGAAACGAAAGATCTTGAGTAAGAGCCTTTTGATTCTCGTCCAATTTTGCAATGAGCTTGTTTTGTTGCTCGTCTATTGTTTGTTTGACCTTAGACAATTCCTTTGTAATCGGTTTGAATTCTTTCTCGCGTTGGATAGCAATACCTTGCTGTACATCTTTGTAATCTTGTACAGTCTGATAAATTTTTCTCCTCTTCCGATTGTTTTCGAGTTTGAGATCCATATCTCTTGAGAAGTTGGCAATATCCATAACGTTTTCGTTTGTTAGTGACCAAGATAATTTTTTTAAAGAGAAACGTAATCAAGTGTTTCACGTGATCGCCTATTGTATGCTGGTCGACACCTCGTGATTCGCGTTTCACACAATTCCGGTTTCATACACAAAAAATCATTTGCATGCAGAGCACGTTTCATGTGACGAGTTCGGTTTCATTTCTCCAGCTAGAGAAGGGATTTTGCACGACATCATTCGACTGTCAACTTGAGACATGGAAGCAAATCGTTTTTATGAATTTTGCAATGCGCTTGAACAAGTGTGGTTAACGTTAAGAGAACATCATCAAAACAGAGGTCAAGTTGATGAAGCTTTTGAGATGTTAACCCAAAGATTTCCTGAATTACTTCGTAGAGCAAGCGCTGAAGAAACCAAAGCCTCACAACCTCCAAGCGCTGAAGAAACCAAAGCCTCACAACCTCCAAGCGTTGAAAAGAAAAAAAGGGTGAAGAAGAGCAAAGAAGATGTCAAAAACATCTTGGATGCATCAATAAAAAACATTGATGCTTTTAAAGATTACAAAGATGCTGAAATCAAGACTGATACCGAACAAGATTGCATAGAGACATTGAGTGTTCTCAACAAAGCATTGATAGATGCAAAAAAGAGGGTAATATACTTCTCTGCTCTTCAAGGACAAGTACTGCAAGAACTAAAAGAGGTTTCTAAATGTACTATGAATGACTTGTTTAAAAAAACAAATTATTCTCTATCTCAAATATATTTTTTGATAAGTTTGCATAAACTGGTTTTAAATAATACCAAGCTTTATCATTCGGATTTACCTTTATCATTTTTTAAAGATAATATGCAGGCAATTAAACAAATTTGTGAAGAAGAAAGTTCTTTCAAGTAAGAAACTAAATAAATACCAATCAATTTCATTGTAACAGATTCGCGATTCATGAATCGAAAGGACAATAATCTAATAAATAAAGCGTAAAGCTTATTTCACACGATGGGTTTTGTTTCTCCGGTTGGAGAAAGGATTTCACTTCAACGTGATCTGAATAATAATTATTTCATCCGACGGGTTTTATTTCTCCGGCTGGAGAAAGGATTTCACGCTTGGGTGGTTGATTCTCCGGTTTGATAGAAATTTGCATAAAACCGCAGACACCACAAAGCGGTCACACAACACACTTAAAGACAAATGGCATTTAACGAGGCTTCACGATATTTTAACGTAAATATGGACAAAAACAGAGATAGAAACCACCGAAAGTGCCAAAATATAGTGAATTCACGATTATTTGACGTGAAAGCGCGAATCGGCATCGCCGAAAGTGCCAAAATATAGTGAATTCACGATAATTTATCGTGAATACCACAAACATCGTTAAAGAAACCCCCGAAAGTGCCAAAATATAGTGAATTCACGATTATTTGACGTAAAAGCTTAAAACAGACCACAAAAGTGCCAAATTAACGTATATTCATGAGAATTTGACGTAAAATGAGGGGAAATGTTTCAAACCCCGCCATGATACAACTACTTTTGTGTTTCTTTTTGCTGAATTGTTGGGGTCGATTTACACTAAAGATCACAAAAGTGAAATCACTTTTATGAAGTCCTATCTTATTCATCCGGAAACACTTAACATAATTGATTGCAAGTACTTTCTTGTGGACCTAGTTGCAAATTATGTCTTTATAGTTGTTTTAAGTTTAAAAGTTTAAGCGTTAACAGGAACAAAAGATGAAATTGTTCAACTTCTAAATTGAAGTTTTTTTTTAACATAGAAACGCAGAGTCAATTTGCCATAAAGCGATCTTGAGTATAAGCTTGGCCACCAAATTAACTCAACTTCTCGAGTGGAACGGCCCTCCCCTGTGCCAATTTCCATTGATGATCGACTCGTTGGTCGTCGTCCTGGTTTTCTTGCCCTTGCTTTGGCAATTTCAAGAGCCTCCTCTGCATCCATATTTGAAATATCAGGAACTTCGTCCTGGTTACTGAACAATACATGGGATTTCAACAGCAAAGAGTCCTGCTCTTTTAGAATCTTTATGGATGTTTGCTCCTCAACTATTTTGTACGACAATAGTCCTTTTTACAGTTCCCGGCGCCATATTGAATGTGTAACCGCGCAAACATGATAGCGAGGTTAGTGTTGAGTCGCGGAAGATTCAAAACAGCTGATAGCAGTGTTGGAGTAGCCTCTGTAGTGCGATTTCACGTTCTTCTTTGCAATCGTTCCACCGAAATGGTTTTAAAATATAAAGACCAGGAAATCGTGTCACTCGGTGATATCCAACGGCTTACAGCCAAGGATTTACGCATTATTTTGCGATCCCATTCAGAGTCGCCAGGTGGGACGAAGGCTGATTTGGTGTTAAAAGTCTACGCATTGCTGATGCGAGAGATTTTGCCATCAGCTGCGAATAGCGACGACACTGGAAGTAGTGGACCAAGCAACGAGGAGTTCACATACGATTCGACGATGAGAAGGATTTTGGCACTGGGATGGTCGACAGATCTAAGAAATTTACCTGAAATGAACTTTATTCAGTTATACGATTACGTTGTGGTATCCACGCGCAAGTATCGTCATATCGTTCTAAAGGGAACTAACTACAAGAAACTCAAGTCTTACCAGTTCTTTTTTGAAGGAAATGTTAAGAAGTTAGAATGCAAAAACCACAACAACAAAAGGTACGTTAGGGCGAATGTTTTACCTTCGATGAAGAAGACACCATACCGAGTTGTTGTAGAGTTCTCACCTACTTGCGATGTTTTGCGCGCTGCTTGTACTTGCCCTGCTGGACTTGGATTGCAAGGCAAGGGAAAGTGTAATCACGTCGGAGGGGTTCTTTTTGCCATCGAAGATTTTTCCAGGAGAGGTTTACAACAAAACCCAGAGCCTTTAACCTGCACGTCCCGCCTGTCAGTCTGGATTGTACCGCGAAACCGCTTGACAAAGTACTGATCAGAAAAATCAGATTTGGAAAGAAAAATATTCGCACGCAGGCTAAAATCATAAAATTTGATCCAAGGGCCCCACAACAGCAAACTACAGACCCTGACAGCTTCAAAAAGCTTTGTAGCGCATTGCAAAATTGTTTGCCATCTAGTTCATTTTTTCTCTTCCATGACATTAAATCGAAATGCTCAGGAACAGGTAACACTTCTTCAGAAAATGACAGAGAATGAAATTGCCATTCCCTTCACTGATAGCTACGACATTGCAACGAATCGTTTTAAAGACATGGTGGATGAACACGTGTCATCCTGGACTATNAGCGATCACAATCTTGTTTACATCTCGCTGAAGTTAAAAAAGCCAAGGATCAAGCCCTGTTACGTCACTATTAGAAGCTATACTAATTACAGCGCCGACAATTTCCTACGTGATTTGTCATATGCGCCTTTTCACATAATAAGCCTATTTGACGATTTCAACGATCAAGTTGATGTATTCAACGAACTGTTCTTGGAAGTACTAAGTCAACATGCTCCAGTCAAGAGGGTTAAAATTAGATCTAAACCTAACCCCTTTATAACACCAGAAATTCGTCAACTAATGAGAACGCGCGACCAATGGCGCAAACTTGCGGGAAAAACAAATGACCCTTTCCACTGGAACGGATACAGATTTTTTCGTCAAGAAGTGAAAAGGGAGATTCGTGTGGCCGAAAAAGTTCACGTCAGGACTCAGATCCTGGATAGCAATGGAAATTCTAACTCAATTTGGAAAATCATTAACCGGTGTCTACCACGTAAACAACAAGATAGTTTTATGGCTTCTGAGGATCCCACTGGGTTAGCTAACGAATTAAATGATTTCTTCATTTCCGTCGGCAGTATTACTGCTCAAAAAGCCAGGGACTTATCTTTACATCATGGACTTAATGTAAATTTGGATGTGCCGACTCCTTTACACATATCCACCGACGTTAGCCCCGAATTATTCGTTCTCCATCAAGTCACGGAAAATCAGGTAGAAAGGGTGATTAGAAGCCTACCATCTAACAAAGCTCCTGGAATGGACAAGATATCTTCTAGAATTCTTAAAGACAGTTTACCCAGTACGCTAACAACAATTACCCACATTGTGAATAACTCCTTTGTTACCAACACATTTGCACGTGCATGGAAAACAGCAGAGGTTACACCTATTCTCAAATGCGGTAATCCAGATGTCCCTAACAACTATCGCCCCATCTCATTATTACCAATAGTCTCAAAAGTCACTGAAAGGTTGGTACATGGACAACTTATGGAGCATCTAATTAGAAATAATAAACTGGCAGCACATCAGAGCGGAAATAGAAAGCTTCACTCGACAGAAACAGCTCTGTTGTACGTTACAGATCAGTTGCTCCAGGCTATGGATAACAAGAAAGTTTCCATCATGGTCTTATTAGATATGTCTAAAGCATTTGATAGTATTCGACACGACATCTTGTTATCCAAGCTACAAAATCTCGATTTTTCCCAGGGTGCGTTGAATTGGTTTCAGAGTTACCTTTCTAACCGACAACAGTGCGTTCGAATTGGTGACGCAGTTTCTAAAGTACTCCCACTTGAGTTCGGAGTTCCGCAAGGCTCTATTTTAGGTCCGGTTTTGTTTACAATCTATGTTAACGACCTCCTTTCTGTTCCTAAACGTTGTCTATCTGCCTCCTATGTTGATGATTGTAAATTGTATTTGTCCTTTTCACCTGCCGAATTACCCACGTCCATCCTCGCCTTAAACGAAGATCTTACGAGAATATCTCAGTGGTGCTGTAAAAACTCTCTTTTGATTAATCCGGACAAAACTAAGGTTCTAGCTGTTGGATTACCACAACTTTTAAAGAAACTGTCATCATTCAGTATAACACTTTTTGACAAGGAAATAACACCTGTGCCTGTCGTTAAGGACTTGGGTGTTCTTCTCGACACACACCTCAGTTATAACCAACATATCACTGAGATTGCCTCTAAATGCCTTTTTAAATTGTACCAAATTAACAGAATCAAGCACCTCCTGGATAGGAAAACACTTCTGTTAGTAATAAATTCATTTGTCTTTAGTAAACTCCAATATTGTTCAACTGTCTGGAGTAATACCAGCAGCAGCAATATTGACAAGTTACAAAAAGTCCAAAACTTTGCTGGGCGAATTATTCTGGGACTAAGAAAGTATGACCATATTTCGGATGGGTTGCGATCGTTGAAATGGCTTCCTATTAGAGAGAAACTCATTCTAAATGACGCTACTATGATGCACAAATGTATTAACAAGCTTGTTCCAGACTATCTTGCTGATATGTTTAAATCACGTTCTCAAGTCCATAATAGACAAACTCGATCATCTGGTGCTTTGGATATACCTTTATGTCGCCTGTCAACAGGGCAGCGCTCCTTTGCTTTCAGAGGAGCCAAACTCTGGAACTCCTTGAATGATAACATTAAGTCCTTAAAATGCCCCAGGAATTTTAGACGTCATCTTGCAAATGTTTTATTAAGTTGATATATTATATTATTGATATATATTTTGTAATTATAATATTATTGTATTTACATTCTCAATTAATTTATATATTTGTATTTTTTTTTATTCTATTGAGCTGAAAAGCCCACTTAGGGAGCATCAATAAAGTGTATGTATGTATATGTATGTATGTATTAACGTACTATTAAAATTAAGCCAATTTGATCAGACTTGTTTAAGATCTCCTGTTCTTGCCCATTATAAACCTAAAGATTCTATCTTTCTTTTATTTGTTTATCTACATCTATGCAAAGGAATTATAAATTTAGGAAATAATCGGTTGAAAAAGAAGATAAAACAAATAGGTCTAACGGCTGAGTAATAAACCTTCCAAAGCCGTGATGAGTTTTCCGTATCGAGTACTAAGGTACTAACGTGCCAAGCAAATTCAGAACAAGCCGTGATGAGTTTTCCCGTACCGAGTACTAACGTACTAACATACTAACGTACTAACGTACTAAGGTAATTCAGAACAAGCGGTGATGAGTTGTCCCTACCGAGTACTAACGTACTAATTAAATTCATAACAAGCCGTGATGAGTTGTTCCTACCGGGTACTAACATACTAACGTACTAAGCAAATTCAGAACAAGCTGTGATGAGTTGTCTGTAGCGAGTACTAACGTACTAACATACTAAGCAAATTCAGAACAAGCCGTGATGAGTGTTTGTAGCGAGTACTAACGTACTAACGTACTAAGCAAATTCAGAACAAGCCGTGATGAGTTGTCGGTAGCGAGTACTAACGTACTAGCCTACTAAGCAAATTCAGAACAAGCTGTGATGAGTTGTCCCTACCAGGTACTAACGTACTAACGTACTAAGCAAATTCAGAACAAGCCATGATGAGCTGTCTGTAGCGAGTACTAATGTACTAACCTACTAAGCAAATTCACAACAAGCCGTGATGAGTTGTCTGTAGCGAGTACTAACGTACTAAGCAAATTCAGAACAAGCTGTGATGAGTTGTCCCTACCGAGTACTAACGTACTAAGCAAATTCAGAACAAGCCGTGATGAGTTTTCCGTACCGAGTACTAAGGTACTAACATACGAAGCAAATTCAGAACAAGCCGTGATGAGTTTTCCGTACCAAGTACTAAGATACTAACGTACTAACATACTAATGCACTAAACAAATGAATAACAAGCCGTAATGAAATGTCCGGACTGAGTACTACATTAGTAACGTACTAAACATATGAGCAACAAGCCGTCATGAGTTGTCCTTAGCAAGTACCACAAAATACGGCAAATGCAGCACAACTCGTAAAAATACTCACCGCTACTACATGACAAAATATCTAATAAGACCTATCTATATGAATAATTTAACTCCAAAACTTTGCAAGCGCAATTTTAACAGTATTCTTTTTCTCAATAACACAAACTGCCCTAAATGGTTTCTCCAGATGAAACAGGAAATGTTCGAGGCTGAACCCACACTATATGACCCCTTGTTGGATAAGAACGAGTTTATTTAACATCTTGAATTTTTCACGTTCTCTTAGGTAGCATAGTCAAGCTAGTTATCTTATAAACTGAAGACTTGGTCGAAATTGCTTTTTTAGCTGAACTCGAAAAACCGACTCGTTACACAACTTGAGAGTCGTCCAGCACAGACTTTTGTGCTTCTGAATTAAAAAATTACCAGAAACGAGACATTTTTGTGAAACATTAATTTGAGAGGAAGATAGTGCTGGGAATTTTAACGTGGTCGAGGCTCATCTTTTTTTCCCAAAAAGATGCGTTTTCAAACAGAAAGAGATACTGGTTGACGGGCAATAGCTATTCTAAAACAGTTGGAGTGGACTTACACTTCTTTGGAAAAATGGATATACATAGGGATGCAGTGTCAATGCGAAGATGATGGGATCTCATTGGTATTCCGTGTAGGCCTACTCTGGGGCATTAATTCACCGTAACTTTGAGCGACTTTAGGCGATTTAAGCTGACTTAAAGTGACTTTATTTGACTGAAGTGATAAAATCAAAGTTAGCAACAATATTTCCATACAATTTAAAACATTTACAGAATCCCTTGCAATAAACACAATATGATTAGAGTGGGGTGAATGGGGTCAATTGGAAAGGGGGGAACCCTTGTAGCATTTTGTAACCAGTAGCTACTTAAGATGACTTTAGGCAACTTTACGAAACTTCAGGCGACTCAAGGCAACTTAAGGTCCCAGAGTAGGCCTCCGTGGGATAAATTAGAAGTTGCAAAACGATAATTTCGCCGAAATTTTTCAAATTCTGCCGAATTAGCTTCACTCATACCTAATGGCTGCCTCGCCATTCTCTTCAGTCAGTTCCCTGGTTTCTATAATCAACAAGAAGAAAACTTCAACAAGACGCTTTTCCCAAGAAAACTTTTTCCCGTGGCATTCCTCGTGTTAACTATATTGGGACTATAATTACCACACTGAAGATAACGCGTTTCATGCGATAC